TATCACAGTCAGATGTTAAGCAATATGTCATGACATCTTAAGCAACTGTCATGATAGGTACATATGTCATGTATCTCAGACATATGTTTAGCCATATGTCTTGATATCTTGGCCAATTGTACAGTAGATGCTGCTGTTATTTTATGGACATATTTGATTTGATTTTGTGAGATTCTCTTGGATATGGCTCACTTGTTTTCGCAGGACAAGAAGATTTTATTTGGAACAATTGATTTGATCTTCAACTGCACATTAAGTTTTTAAAATTATATGTTACAACAATTTAGAAAACTTGATATTTTTGTTCCATAATTCAAGGAAATTTTTCTACATAATTGGTGTAACCCTCAACTTGTGGATCAACAATATTTTTGTGAAGATTTTGAAGCCCATGGACTGCTGATGAGTTTACAAATAGAAACCTAAACCTAATGTAAAAAGTGTGAATTCAATTGAAAATTAGGAGAAGATATTTTTACAAGGTCTTAGGGTTTTGAGAGTACTTTTAGAGTACTATGTTTTTGTATGTCACTCATGTATCATGGTGATACATAGAGTTTGACTGACTGTTCATTGTCAATCCTCATGAGCTTTTAAGCAAAGAGTTGATTGTCTGAAATTTGAAGTATGTTCTTCTGTTTTTGTCATTGTTAGTGTCACTGAGGTAACTGTGGAAAGTGAGAGGGGGATTTCATATCTAGAAGGTTTCTAGGTAGAAGTAGCACAAGATAGTGATTAGGAGATAAGTTGCAAGTTAGGGTTGTTTAGCTTCAAACTAATACTATCATGGTGGATTTCCTTCCTGGTTTGGATACCCCAAAAGTAGGTGATGTTCCACTGAACTAGGTTAACAATTGATTGTGTATTTTATGTTTTTTAATTTACTTTCTTCATAATTCACATCTTTTGTAAATTGATATATCAGGAACATGATGTCTTAACATCTATCCTGAAATTGTGTTTTGGTGTTTGGACATCAATCTTAACATCTATATTGAAAGTGCCAGAATTTCAATTGGAATCAGAGCCAACACCTTCTTCTGTTTTTGGGTGAGCTCAAGGGAGAATATTTTCTGTTACTATAGATAAGGAAGAAGGATACAACAACATACCACCTATGTTAGATGGTGAAAATTATGACTATTGGAAAGCTAGGATGTTAGCTTTCCTGAAATCCATGGACAACAAATCTTGGAAGGTCGTTTTGAAAGGTTGGAATCATCATGTTGTGAAGAACAAAGATGGGAATGAATCCTTAAAGCCATAAGAAGACTGGTCTAAGGAGGAAGATGAATTAGCTCTTGGAAATACCAAAGCTTTGAATGTTCTTTTCAATGGAGTGAACAAGAATGTTTTCAGGTTAATAAATTCTTGTGCTGCAGCTAAAGATGCTTGGGAAATTCTCAAGACAACTCATGAAGGCACATCCAAAGTAAAGATATCCAGACTTCAGCTTCTCACTACTAGATTTAAGAATTTGAAGATGAATGATGATGAAAGCATTCAAGACTTTCACATGAATGTTCTTGAAATAGAAAATGCATCTAGTGCCTTGGGGGAAAAATGTCAGAAGAAAAGCTTGTTAGAAAGATTCTCATGTCTCCACCTAAGAGATTTGACATGAAAGTAAAACCTATTGAAGAAGCTCAAGACATCGGCAGCATGAGAGTTGATGAACTTGTTGGGTCACTTCAAACATTTGAGTTTGCTATAAGTGATAAGTATGAGAAGAATACCAAGAGTATAGCCTTTGTAACTAATGTTGTAGATGAGTAGAGTCGGTGAAATTTGGATACTGAGGAAGGAATGTCAAATTCCATTGTTTTACTTGGAAAGGCGATTCAATCAAGTACTGGAGAAGATAAATATAAGGGTAAGGCCTAATGTCAAGAACATCTCATATGACATCAGCAAGAACTATGAGTCTTAGATAAAAACCAAAGTTAAAGAAAAACCCAATCGAAGAAAAGGTTTTTAGTGTCATGAATGTGAAGGTTTTGGGCACATTAGAGCAGAGTGTCCAACATACCTCAAGAAACAACAAAAGGGGACGTTTGTTTCCTAGTTTGAGAAGGATTATGAAAAGGAGAAGACAATGAAACTACCAAGCATGTGAAGGCTTTTTTAGGAAGATATGATGAGAAGGTACCTTATGAAGAATAGGCTTCCTCTTAAAAAGGGTTGCGCGTAAAAAGTGAAGAAGTATGTAAGAATGAATAAAAGCATACGCTAATCACACTTAACTACAGGTTAAGAAGAAGGAACTTCTTATTAAAGTGTATGATCTTCAGAGTGAAGTATCTCTACTGACATCCAAGCTTGAAAACATGACCAAATCTATTAGAATGTTAAATAATGGGACATCCATATTAGAGGAAATAGTTCAAGCTGGAAAAGGTGCTGGAAATTTAATAGGGATCTTATATCAGATCTAAACATCATCCCAGGTGGTGTCACTATTATGGGAAACATGGTCACATAAGACCTTTTTGCTACAAGTTGTATGGATACCCAAAACATCATAATCATCATAATAGTAATCAAGCGAATAAGGCTAAAAGGAATTAGAATTCTGAAAATGAGAACATTTGTCTCATTGCTCTTTTTTCTCTTAGAACTCCAACGGGAGAACATGGGTACTTTAATAGTGGAAATTTAAGACATATGAAATAAGGTAGGACTTATGGGAAGTGCTATATGTGGACACCACAAGAAATCCCTAACACGTGCTTAATATCCATTAGAAAATACGTGATGAGTTCCAAGTTAAGCAGAAAATGTTGAAAGAATGCAATCTCAAACATGATATCACAACATTAGACTGTGATCTTCTGAGTTCCACTAATATAGTAAAGAATCTCACTCAACATGATAGGATAAAGTAGAGTGGTAGTCTCTATCATTCCATCAATGATCTGATTAGGGACAAAGTTGTTGCTATGAGAGATATTATCATATGGAAGCAACTTGGAAAAAGTTTTACCAAGGTCATGGATGCTGAAGCAACTAGGAAAATCATCAAACAATAAAGTCGCCATCAAATATTTATTTATCCCATGGAAGGGAAAGGAAAACATCGAAGAAAACCTGAGAAGGGAGAAATCAAGGTCTCACCACCAAGAGAATGGGTAATGGAGTCAATTACACAAGGGGAAGGTATTATCACCCCTCACGTTCGTGGTACTCCTGGGATCCACTCTTGTTGTCTAATCAAAGGGTGCGTCAAATCTAAATCTAACAAACTAAAGGGGAATGCATGAATGCAAAGTATATACAAAGAAAAAGGTTTTATTAGTTGCACCCACCACAGCTGTGAACCTTTGTGTCTATGTACCCTCTTCGTGCAATGAGAGGTCAGGACACTCGTAGTTCACCTAAAAAGGTGTTTTGGTTTATTTTGTGTTTTTTAGGCGGATAATATTACATTCACACTTTAGCAGTTGACATATTGCAGCCCGACCTTTGGGGACTCACGCATCGTTTTATGCAGAGTGGAAATAACACATCATTTTTTATGAAAAGATTTTTAAAGAAAAGCCCAAAGGCAAAAGAGTTTGAATTTGTTGAGTTTTTTTGTTGGGACATTCACAATTTCTCCATTTATTTGTGAAAGAGTTTGAGATTTGAACCATATTAAAGACAATGACTGAAAGGAAGCACAAGGTTCAGTATGTACCACCTCATACTTCTCCCAATACTTTCTCGTGACACGTGGTTCACCTCTTTATTGTTAAGTGTTTTGAGATTTTGATAAGGAAAAAGAATTTCAGTCTTAAAGATGCAAAATGGATAGAAAAATTCTAAAGGAAAACTCAAGTCCTAATGTTGTCATGCAATGGTGGTCCTAAGATTGGATGAGAGGGATGAATACCTAATGTTATAATGCGAAGACGGACCTAATGGCAAGGATAATAATCCTATAGGGAATATGCACTGAGAGCGGGGTCATTATCTCAATTCTAATTGAGTGACACATCGATCGAAAATAAATAAAATAAAATCCTATATGGAGTATGCAAAGAAAAAACAAGAACATAAATAAAAAAAATAAAGTGGCTTAAGAGCCTACAAACACCTTTGTGTCTAACGTCAATGCCTGGATACCTCCAGGACTTCAGATACAGATGCATGAAAAAGAGGTAAAAGAGATCCAAGTGGTACCTAATGGAGAAGGTTTGTTGCCTCTTCAAAATCACGCAAGCGATAAGAAAACTCTATAGAAGCTCACACAAATGATCAAACAAGCTAATCCTCAAGCATTTCATATCACAAAAGTCACGTCAACATTTTATCACAAAGCTAGCAAATCTCATAAACATTCAAAAGGATTAATACTTGATTTTATCATTATAAGAAATTTTACAAGTATAAACCAAGCATACATATAACCAAGCACCTAAGGGTTATAAACTTTTATCTAATCAATCATCATGCCTAGACATTGATAAAAAAAAACAAAAGAGAGATCGACCATAACATCACAAAACCTACTATTAACCACAGTTCGACATTTCACCAAATTAACCACCAAACTAATAGAAAAATCATGAAAAATTATATCTTAGTCACGGACTAACATATCAACACAAAATTTCAACCAAAAATCATAAAAGAAAACATTACGGTTAGTTGCAAAAGAAGTCAAGAAACACATGAAAAAAATGTACAAGTAACAAGAACATGAGGGGTGAATTCAGGATTAAGGCATGAGGCTTCAACAAAAGACCTCAGGGCGCCAGGCCTAACATAAATTGGTCCATGAGCCCTTTTTTATTTCAATCTTTGTCAACAATTAAAAATCAAAATTATAATAATAAATAAAGAGAAAGAATGTAAAACAGTGTGTTTCGGTTTTCATAGGTCTTGTGACTTTTCACCTTCCCTTTCCCCTCTCTATCACTTTCTCTTTCGTTCAAAAATCTAAACTCTAGCCCACCGCCGCGCCGACGACACCCATGGCGGCTGATGCTCAAAAGCGACAACAACTTATGGATTCATCTTCATCTCTTCCTCGCGAACCTGAATCCGTCCCTATCTTCCTCTAATGAACGATATGGATCGAATTTGGTTATGTGTTGAGCTGGAATTTTAATGATTTTTGTTCTGCTATGCTTTCCATTTTTTTTTTTGGTCTTATTTCCGATTTTCACAATGTTTTGGTTAATGATGCTGCTGATTTTATTTTGGTACATCAAGTTTGGTTTGTATGTATTGCAGCAACTTGTGTTTGCCATGAAGCAAGGCTTTAGTCCTGTTTTGAATAAGTCTTAGCAATAATGAAGAAGGAATTTTGGGATGACGAGAATTACTCAAATGGTGAAAAATGTGAAGGTTGAAGGCAATTTGATGTGGCATAGGTTTTGAAGGTTGTGAAGACTTTAGGACATGATTTTTAATGTAAATGGCCTTCTATGTTGTAGAGATATTTTGAATAGTGTTTGTAATGGAAATATGTATAATGAACTTGCTGGAATTTGTTTGATGAACTTCAGTGAAACTAGGATGCCTTGAACATTCATGTCATGAATAAACCTTTGGGGAATTCTTGAATAATTACATGTACATTCTCCATGTTTCGCTTGTCTTTGAATTCAAAAGTGAATTTATCTCCATTATGCTTCCTTTGAATTTCATTTCACTCTAACTTGAAACTGTGAATGGACTTTTTCATATTGAAAGAACTAAAATCAAACTTGAATCCATCCTTCTTGAAACTTATAACCAATCCATGAACATAAACTCTTGAGTATGATTTGATAATCATGGCCATTTTAATGAAATGATTAAGTGTTGGTTATAATGAATAAAGTGAAGATGATTATGAGATGGAAAAGACATAAAGAATTGACTCAAGTTTCAAGTAACCTATATCTCGAACAATCCACAAAGCCATGAATTATGAACTAACTCTTTATGCATGTCACAATTCTTTAAGCTCTTTGATTCAAATCACAAACCTAGTCAAAACCCTAGACCCAGTTATCATGTATTGCAAGTGACAAACAATGGTAAATCTTCACTGAAACTCCAAACCTTGCTCTGTGTAATTCGAACTTTTTTGAGATGATGCCTTGAGTAAACTGTATGAAGATGAAGGTAAGTCCTTGTAAAACCCTAATCATGAGAGGTCATATGATTATGAAGCCTACATGGAAGTAAATCGCAGGATTTCGGAAATCCATCTGATCAAGCTCATAGGGAAATAAACCTTAATTCAAGAAATCCACCAGATCAAGTGTCTTTCCAAAGGCTGAACCAACCACAATCTTCTGATTAGGAACCAAACACCCTGTTGTTTTTTATAAGGAATGAGTCCCTGATAATCACACTTCACACTCTAATTTCTTTGAGGAAGCTTGAGAGTCTCTGCACAAAAATGTCTTGTGTACTGAGATGATGCTCATGATGATGAAGCTTCAAGTTTCTTGCTCAAGAATATGTCACACACTTCAATATTCAAAACCCTAGCACAAGGGCAAATGATAAAATAATGTGATTCACTTCAAAACCCTTGCAATTCTCAATTCTATAATGAAACAAAGAATCAATTGAGATTTCTTGATGCGTGAGAAGCCTTTGTAGCTTGAGTGATCATAAGAATAACGGTATTGGACCCTACTTGAATTGATTAACAATTCAACAATCTTCTTTTGCTTGAATAGAACCATGAAGACAAGAACACCTTGATTCCATCTCAATGCATGAATGTGTATGATAATGAAACATAAGCCAAAGAGATATGAGACATAAGAGGGAAAATTTGGGGTGCAACAGATGCAAATCAACTTGAGAAGCTAGGGGGTGAAGTTGGAGTTTATATTACTGAGAAATTATGGAAATTAGTAAGGTGAAGGCATGTAATGGATAATTTTTCCTCCTTCCATGTACTGGATTACAAAAATTCAGAAACATCATTACAAAGCCTTGATATTTCCAAATTTACACGTTATTTAAATCCTATCACCTACTGCACTATTCACAAGCTTTTACTTCCTCAATTCTCAATTCCAACATCATTTCACTCGTATATCAAAGAGATTGTTTAAAATATCATTTTCAATATCTCTCTTTTCAATTATCAAGAAATTAATATGTCAAAAAAAAACTCAAAGGTTATGCCCTCCTCTGCTTCATATTCTTCAAGGGACTAAGAAGATTTTCCAAATGTTATAACAAATGTTGTTCCTCTCACTATTATCCCAAGCGATACTCCAAAGAAAATTATAATGAAGATTCTTGTTGGAAGAAGGACTCACTCTTCTCGTGTAAGTACCTCTTCAAATCCTTTTATGTTAGTCGAAAAGATACCTAAGATGGTCACACCTGTAGACACGCTTGTTGGTTTTACTGAGCCTAATGTCACTGATAAGTCTAGGAATTCTGTAGACCTTAATATCAATGAGTCATCTCAGAATATTAGTTCCATAAATGATAACATGGAGTAAGCTGTAAGACAATCTACCCATGAAGATATTGTTGTTGATAAAAGCATCCATAGGTTGCTCTCAAACATACTGAGTGGTAAGGCTACCCCAGATGATACGCCTAATGTTTTAACATCAATGGCCAAACATATCCATCCTGAAATTAAGCATGAAGTTGTAGAAGAAACAGGTGTAGAAGGAGATGTTGATAAAGACAAAAATAACAAGATTGTCAACATTGATGAGTGTGATTTAGATGATGATCCTATTAGAAAAAGGTTAGCTCCTAGAATTGCCAAGATATTGAGAAGTAAGAAAGAAAAGGCTAATGGTATGACTAAGGGTACTCCCTTCAAAATTCCCAAGAGAAGCACTAGTGGTAGACCAAATAAGGGTTGGAGAAAAGTACTAGCTCTCAGCTCAACGAAGAAAACTCTGAAGAGGAAGGACGTTTCCTCAATTAATTCAGAGTTTGATGTTGATACTGATGTTCAGGACATCATGCATGACAACAAAGGAAAGTATGTGACCAATATGAGTCTTGAAAATGTTCCAAATGTTCCTATAGATAATGTATCTTTTCATCTTGCTAAAAATGTCCAAAAGTGGAAGTATGTGTACCAGAGATGTGTTGCTCTGGAAAGAGAATTGGGGAAAGATGCTCTATAGTGTAAGGAGGTAGTTTATCTCATTAATCAAGTTGGATTAATGAAGACTGTTTCTAAGTTGAGTAGTTGCTATAAGAGACTAGTGAAGGAGTTTATGGTAAACATCACTCAAGAGTGTAAACATAACTCAAGAGTTTGTGGTAAAAATAACTCAAGGAGTTTAGGAAAGTGTATGTAATAGGAAAATGTGTGGAGTTCTCACCAATTGTGATTAACAGGTTTTTGGGAAGGAGTGAGGAAGAACAAACTGAGGTTGATGTGTCTAATAACTTCATTTGTAGAGAAATAACTGGGAAGAAGATAAAGGAGTAGCCTAGAAAAGGAAAGCTATTTGTAAGCTATCTAAGTGTGAAGTATGCCATCCTTCACAAAATTGGATCTACTAACTGGGTGCCTACCAATCATACTTCCTATTGCTATTGAACTCAGAAGGTTTATCTACATTGTTGGGACCAAAACTAATACTGATTTTGGAACCTATATCTTGGAAAAAATCATGAAGTAAGGTATTTCTTATGCAGTATAAATGAAAATTTCTTTCTGAACCTTAATCTGTGGAGTCATTCTGAGTCAACATCCAAGAATATTAACTGATTCAGAAGATACAAGTAGGAGGGATTCACCTCTTTCTTTTCACTATAAGTTGTTTGAAGGGACACATGTTTCAGACATTGTCAATACATTTGAAAAAGAGAGTGTTATTCCCACCAAGGATGACATAATAACAGAGTTGAAAGCTATTTGTAAGGGGTTGGATGAGACTATCAAAGCATGTGCTGCAAGGAAAATCAAACTTGAAAGATGATAGAAGCTATGACTATAAAAGATGTTCAAGGAAATCCTGATGAGGGTAGTTATGATGGACAAAATGAAGATACTACCGATGGAAGTAAGGATGAAGATGCAGAGGGTATTAAAGAAAAAGAAACTGATATAAGCATTAGTGCTTAAGAAGTCGTGTTCTTGTATTTTGTCTTAACATTTGTTGTTTTACCTTTGTTAGGGCTTATGAATATTTTGTGCACTTGAGTGCTTTGGCTTGTAATACTTAACTTTATGCTTTCACCAGTTAGTTGTACTTACATATGTTAATTGTGCTTATTTGATTGTGTGCTTATAATGTTATTGTATATTTACTCTATTTTTGTCAATTTTTGGCTAAAAGGGGGAGTAAAGTATTATTTTAGAATGATGTTATTGTTCTGATGTCATGTCAAATGTATTGACATATTACTTGATGTTGATAGGACTATACTAATACTTGGTAAGAGTAGTCTCTGGTTGCTTGTTATATGCAACAATTTAGGGAGATTATGATTGTCTGTCATATTTGGTTGTTTTGTGTGAACTTAGAGGAACTGTGTTTGGTTCTGCAGCTACTGCTGATAAGTGTGTGTGCATGATGTCAACCCAAATGTCCTGATATCTTTCCTAAAGTATTTTGTGTAGAATTCTGGTTAATTTGGTTCTCTTAGTTTTTGTTTATGAGGCTTCTTTGTTTCTCCTACTTCATGAGCCTCTACTGTGTGAACTTGGATAATTCTTGTTTTTGGATGTTCCCTTGAGGGGGAGTATTGATTATGTGTGACAAGGGGAGTAATGGAACTGTCTGATGTTGCTAATCACTTGTGCTAAGTTGGATTTTGTTGTACCCCAAAATTTTCCCTCTCATTTCATCAACATTTCTCATCACAAAGCCCTTGGAAATCAAGATCAAGCTAGGGTTTGCTCAGCTCAAGACTCCTCCTTGCACTGTTGATCCAAATTAGGGTTTGAATTTGCACAGAGTTGTTTTGACCTAAAATTCCCAAAATGACTTTCATTCTTCATGTTGGACCTACAAGTTTATCCATACCAAGTTTCAAGCCTTGATTCCAATCTTTGCCCAGTCAATTGGACAGTTGACCTAGAAATCAGATGTGTTGGGGAAAAAGTCAACTGTGGCCAATTGACAGTCAAACTTCATAATTTTTGACCCACATCAACATAATGAACTCATATGAACCATTTGGTCAAGTTTGGATCACAATTTCACAAGAAATTTGATCAGATCACCAAAAGGGTAAAATGGTCATTTTTAGGGTTTTGACTGCACAAAGGCAATCTTTGACTGTTTGACCTAACCAATGGCAAACCAAGCTC